ACGATGACATTATAGCTCAAAATATCATTGAAAGGTTTACAAGGAATCTCAATCCTATTCGAGCAAGCGGCCATTCTTGTCTATAGGATATAGGACTCAAAGTGTGACGTGAAAGTTGAGAGTCTGGTTGAAGCGGGGCACAAGTTCTACCTTTTTTAATGAAGATGATTGTGTTGACGATGATGGTGATGGCAATAACGGTGAGGACAATGACGATGATGGCAATGACGATGACGGCAATGACGTCCTTACAATGATCGTGAGGACAATGACGATGATGACAGTGAAGGTGATGAGAATGGCGGTAATGACATTGACGATGATGACAATGACGGTGAGGACAATGACGGTGATAACAATGAAGTTGATGACCGTGACATCCTTACAATGATGGTGAGGACAATGACGATGATGACAATGACGATAATGACGATGATGACAATGACGGTTATGGTAATGGTGGTGATAACAATGACGGTGATGAAAATGACGGTGATGACAATGACGGTGACGCCAATGATGGTGACGCCAATGAGGATGATGGTGATGACAATGGCGGTGATGACAATGACGGTGATGCCAATGATGGTGACGCCAATGAGGATGATGGTGATGACAATGACGGTGATGACAATGACGGTGATGACAATGACGGTGATGACAATGACGGTGATGACAATGACGGTGATGACAATGACGGTGATGACAATGACGGTTATGACGATGATGGTGATGACAATGACGGTGATAACAATGACGGTGATGACAATGACGGTGATGACAATGACGGTTATGACAATGACGGTGATGACAATGACGGTGATGACAATGACGGTTATGACGATGACGGTGATGACAATGACGGTGACGACAATGACGGTGATGACAATGACGGTAGCTGCAATGATGGTGATGACAAAGATGGCAAGGTTTATCATGATGATGATGGTAAAGATTCGTGTGAAATTTTTACTGCAGTGACCTTAAGTGACGACAGTATCTGCAAGTATATTATTAATATACACGGACACATCTATTTATTTCAAAGTATTTTTTAACTTATAAAATAGGTCTTCATTTTATTAAAATAAAGCTAATTTTGTCTTTACGACAATTAAGAAAAAAAAATATCCAAATAGTTTATAGCATGAATATATAATGATAATTTCTGTTGTTTAAAATAATCTTGGATTTATTGAGGAATTAAAGAGTAAAAAAAAAAAAATCACAACCAAGACTCGAATTATATTATGCTTTTTTGTATGTTAATGACAGCATTAAAAACAGTGCTGTTAAATTACATTGATGTAGTCGAGCGGTAGGTCAATTACAGTTTTTAAATCTCTACAAATACAAGCTGTCTCCAGAACTGTAGCTTTATTTGTCCATTTATTATGATAAAAGCAGAAAAAAAGCATAAGAAAAATGGGGGAATAATAAGGACAATAGCTGAGCTGATACAAAGATAGTGTAATGTATCTTTATTAACACACGATTTAGTGTATAACATAAATGCCAATAAACACATTTTTTCATAACGAGCGATCATTTGGGATAATAGCGTAGAGCAGCGATGATTCAGTAGAAGAGTGGGACCAACATGAGAATCCAAAGGGAAAAATAAAATAATCCTTTAATAATATTTAATAATTTACAGAAGTTTTGCTTATATGAGAAGTACACTGTTTACCTAATATGAGAAGTACACTGTTTACCTAATATGAGAAGTACACTGTTTACCTAATATGAGAAGTACACTGTTTACCTAATATGAGAAGTACACTGTTTACCTAATATGAGAAGTACACTGTTTACCTAATATGAGAAGTACACTGTTTACCTAATATGAGAAGTACACTGTTTACCTAATATGAGAAGCACAAAGTGTACCTTATATGAGAAGTACACTGTTGACCTAATATGAGAAGTACACTGTTTACCTAATATGAGAAGCACAAAGTGTACCTTATATGAGAAGTACACTGTTTACCTAATATGAGAAGTACACTGTTTACCTAATATGAGAAGTACACTGTTTACCTAATATGAGAAGCACAAAGTGTACCTTATATGAGAAGTACACTGTTTACCTAATATGAGAAGCACACTGTTTACCTAATATGAGAAGTACACTGTTTACCTAATATGAGAAGTACACTGTTTACCTAATATGAGAAGTACACTGTTTACCTAATATGAGAAGTACACTGTTTACCTAATATGAGAAGTACACTGTTTACCTAATATGAGAAGCACAAAGTGTACCTTATATGAGAAGTACACGGTTTACCTAATATGAGAAGTACAAAGTGTACCTTATATATGAGAAGTACACAGTTTTTTCGCCCCTAATCTAAGTGAGATGCGGGGGGCGTCCAACACAATCTCAATAAATGTATTAATGTCCTTTACCTCTTTTTCAAGCACGGACACCCAGTGGTACTCCATGCGTACAAGTTAGCATACATTCTAGATAATGGGCTATTACTATTTCAATGTCGCACACGCTGTGCTTATGTGAGACTTAACCACATGGGGGTATACTCATTATAATGAATATGGGGATTATTAAGACTATTCAACTGCACGCACTAGATCTTTGTACGGCTTAGCGCACGGCAAATTGTTTAACTCGAGCCCTTTAAGGTAAAAGATTTACTTGGATACTGGTGAGCACGCGAAGTGTATTTGAATATGAGCACATTTCAGGACGTGTAACTAGAGCGATATGAATTTTAGCTGCTAATTGTAAACACCCGCACTCGTTGAGTCTATAAAAGACATCGCGCGTAGCTGTATGTTCAACTATGGCGATTTAATTGTTAAGAGGTAAATTAAATGAGTTCTACAAGCATTTAAATTAAAACACTAATCAACATAATAAATAAATAATCAACATGAATCGCTCATTACAGCCACATAAATAAAATGTACCCCACATAATAAGGAGATAAAAATACGCATGGCTATAAACAGAATGGCCAGATACGATCGGTAAAAAAATCTAAAATGTAATTCTGCTTTATAAACGTTGGCTCTCTCGATTCAAATCGAGCGGGTATCATTGGCTTACTTTACTGATATAGTTGTGTGCATGGGCGCCCACAGAAAACTTTCTAGAAAGGGGGGGGGGCAAAAATAGATTCACTTCCCCGGGGGGGGGCAACAAATTTTTAGTAATGTTTTAATATAGTTTTAATTTACTGTAGCGTATTTGTATGGTGAACGAACGAACTGGACATCAGCTTAGTTACTTTCTCTTTATTTTCTCTTTACTTTAATACATTTTTTGTCTATTTTTGTCTAAACATTTTTTATCCAATCAATCCACTTGCCCCTACCTGCGGGCGCCCATGGTTGTGTGAACAAATTGGAGGGCAGCTACGTCAGCGGCAGAACAAATAGGATGGCACGAAGAAGCAACTGATGGTCACGTGATGGTCACCGGCAGTACACGAGTGACCAGCCTGATCAAGTCGTAGCACACCTCCTTGGGCTACGTTTAAATTTGAGTGGCTTTACCCACGCAATCACAGTGACACCCTGGGCGTTTGTTACATTGTTACAATTAAGTGGCACCTTGCGACACATGAATAGTGAATTCTTTTCAGACACTCCATTGGACCTTTTGGGACACCGTTTGAGACAAACTGGTAACAGTTTAAGGACACGCCTGATAACCTTGACCACAATGTCAGTGAACCTTTTGATACATTAGTGAACCTTTTTGTGACACACTACTGGTTATTTTTGTGTCCCATCTCTAATATATTACTTCTAGTCCATCCAGATTCCTCTTCAAAACCGTCCCCAACCCAACTCAAAATGTTTTATAATAATAATACTGAGTGAAGAAAAGCTGTCATGCGTGACGTCTGAACTCAGTTAAATAGGGTAATTTTTTCCCCATCTCTATTATGGTATCCGGCAACTCCGTGTTCCTATCAGTAGGATTATTTCTTTACACAGGCAGTTGACGAAGGCAATGGATTCTCCCTTCGGCAGAGGGCAGTAGATTTCTTTGCATATAGAAAATGAGAAGTTCCTTTTATTTTTTTTAACACTTGGACCCACCGGGCATTTTCTCAAAATACCCGGATCCATTGTCACAAAACTGGACCCGGTTAAGCGTGAGTCAGTTTTTATTTTGCGATACACCGGTGAATCTTTTGTGAAACACCAATGAATCGTTTTGCGACTCACCCGGTGTTGACTGACATCTGCTTTTCATCTGAGTTTCAAGTTCTTTATACCGGCGAATAATTTTTACAGCCATCTAAAGTGAAATGTGCTCATCTACATTGGTGCTATACCTGCACAGTTCACTCGTTTCATTCCTGAAGAGATGCCCCAGCTTCAGCTTCGTCTACATGCGGCTCGAACCTTGAGCATGTTGGATAGCACATATCTGTGTGAGCAGCTGTTTTCTGCGATGAATATTAACAAAACATCACACAGGAGTCGTCTCACGGATGAACATTTGCAGTTCACCAGTGAGAATCTCAATGACACAGAACGTTGCTCCCAACATAAACGAACTTCTAGTATCCAGCTCTGACAAACTGGCACAAGAGCGAAAATGGGTATGACGATGACTTTTAATTATTAAAACCTTTTTTTTCCCTTTTTCATTTACATTAATGATTAAAAAGAGGTTTAATTTTCCGCTTATTGAATGTGTATCCTGTTCGGCCCGCAGCCTCACGTGTGATTTGAGTTTTGGCCCGCCGAGCGATTGAGTTTGACATCCCTGCTCGAACCCAATAATACATTGTTCTTCAAGCTCCTACTCCCTACCCAAGGAATGGGTCTCACGAGAAAGTTCAGCCTAATGCGTCACTAGGAACACCATTGATTCGTATGACCGGGGCGTTCATGACGTTATTCATGGCCAAGCCGTTGGCGTTGGACGTTAGCTGCGTGTCCGTCGTCACACCGAGCAAGTGGCGCCTCCTGCTCCCCGGCTGTTGTCTGACTTCCGCGTCGATCGGGTAAACCCGTTTCCTCGCGAACATAATGCGCAGCTCGCGCCGGAACCTCGACCCCGCGATGGAGTACATGACAAAGTTGCTTGAGTTGTTTACGTACTGGATGAGGTTGAGCACGGTGAAGGTCAGGTACAAACGGGCCAGATCCGTGGGCGTCTCGACCTGCCTTAGCCACGTCGGCGTGACGATGAAGTAAATGCTGACCGGCACCGTGGTCACCAGAAACACCAGATTGAGCGCGAGGAGTGTCGCCGTCATGGAGGACGTCCTGCTCAGCCTCGGCAGCGTCAATTTCGGATCCCCGCCACCACCGTTCGCAGCTTCGGGTTGAGATTTCACGCCGGCGGCGTTGATGGTGCCGGAGGCGGCCGCGCCGGCGGCCAATCTTCCAGCTCTGCCGGTCTTTCTCCGACTCATCATTACCTGGACGATTATGCAGGTGTTTCCAATGCTGAGGATGAGGATCGGGATCAGGCTGAAGACCGTGAAGTCGATCCAAGGCCACGCCGTCTCCAAGAACAGACTGTAGTCGTCATTCAGGGCAACGCACCGCCTCACCACGACCAAGTCGACGTCGGAGGAGTTCGCCACGGACTGGTCGACCATGCCGTACAGCAGGTGGCTGTTCAGGACGAAGAAGACGACGACGATGGCAGCGATGGCGATGAGCGACGTCACGCGCGAGCAGTAATGTTTGACCTTGTGCGGTATGAACACCGAGAGGATGCGCTCGAAGGTGAAGGCCACCAGAATCCACACCGAGACGTCCAGGGACAGGTAGACAATGAGGAGATTGATCTTGCAGCCCGTCTCGGAGAGCTCTCTGTGGAGTGTAAGATTGGTGTTCGTTTTACAGTCTAGGAAGAAATTTTAAAAAAGGTGAAGCCATATCTTGATTTAAACGTTTGTTTTAGTGGTCCGGGTGATACCTCTTTACTTCCTTAACACTTCATTTTTTTGCATCATGGATTAAATTAAGCCCAAGGTGGACCTTCACTTATTTCAAATTTCAGATGATGAAAACTTAACATTTAATATGCACCCCTAAACGAAATGAAATTTACCGGACACAAACACCAAGATGCTCTCTTATTTTGTTTTTTAAAGAAAGAAGAAGTGTTTAAAAAAAAAAAAACAACAACAAAAAAACAAAAAAAACAACGACCCAACTTTATGGCTCATTTGTTGGTGTGTCTAATTTCTAAACACTGAAACAATGGAATGCAATATTTCTTCAATGACCTCGCAGGTTCTTCTCTTTCTTTGCCTATATGCTAGCAGGGCTCTTTCTAAAACAAGCGGTCAGAAACCTGAGGCTCCAGGGACTTTAATCAAATAAAAATCGGCTTTTTAATTTTCTTATTATGAAATATTACACATTTTTTATGATAAAAAAAATGAAAATACAAGTTAATCATAATATTAGTTTTAAATTTAAACTATAATTATAATTAAATTGTATATTCATTCTTAAAATTTAATGTCGGTTTTTCATAGTAAGTGACACAGGTAAAAGAATGAGACTACCCCAAGTGTCATGTGCACGTTCGCTGTCTCAATTGGCCCCAGTTTGCTACCACCCCCCCCCCGGGTCCGTCCTACCTGGGGCTCTCCAGTATCCATATCCATCCATGACAGTTGCTCTCCAAATCCGCCCATGCCTGCTATACTCTTCCTATCAGTGGTGTAGGAAAAAAGGGTGTGTTTGTTTGGGGGGGGGGGCGCGTCCAACACTGTGGAACTTTTTTCTTATTATAAGGGGCATCATTTTCGGCCATCTACATTTATTTTTCGTGGAATAGTGTGCAAACAAATCTTGGCCCGCCCCGCCACTGCTCCCAATTCATCCCCGACTGTGGATCCCTAAATATTTTCTCTACCACATACATTTAACAAAAAAAAAAAAAAATCTTTGCTCAAAGATGAATGTTGACCCCCGGACCCCACAAAATAACACCCAGTGTTAAAATTTTTAAATATAACTAAATACATTAAAAAAATCCACACACATCCTCTCAAAAATTATTTTAAAAAAAAAACAAAAAAACAAAAAACCCACCAAAAAAAAAAAAAAAAAAAAAAAAAAAAAAAAAAAAAACACAAAAAAAAAAAAAAAAAAAAAAAAAAAAAAACAAGACACAATAACAATTGCCAACACACCTCACAAGACCCAAGTAACAAACGCCAACTCACCTGACATCGAAGCCACCGACCTCATTGATAAAATGTCTCATAAGACCCGTGTTCAAGACCAAGATGTCTGCCACGGACAAGGCCAGGAGATACACTGAAGTTTGAGCGGTTCTCATCTCACGTCTGCTCATGACCACAATGCAGACGACGTTTCCCACCGTGCCGAATATGATAAGTATCGGGGATACAACCTAATGAGAGGAGGATCAAATTTTAGTGTTAGTGTCATACTCCCTTTGATGTTAGTGTTATTATCGTACTCCCATTAATGTTTGTATTTTAAATGAATTTAATTCCCCATTTTTATCTTTGCGCTATTTCCCCACACAATAATTTCCATAATTTCCTAAATCATTGAAGTTACGGACAATCCTTATTCCTTGGCGAATGCTTAAAATATAGGCATCTTGCAGCAGCGTTTTCCAAACTTTATAGTTTACCGGACCGGTTTACAAGTTTCGAAGTTGCACCACGAACCGGTGACAGATATATTAAGTATATATGTGTTGTGTGTACCGACAAACTCCCCACAATACAAGACGTCCCCTGGTAGTTATACATATTCTGAACTCGGCTTAGAAAGCTTAGACGTCTACGCGTGGAATCGAAGGGATAATCTGCTAAACCTTTCAAACGACATTACGCCAGTGACTTAATTGACAGGATGTAAGATAACTTTCCAGTTTCCTTAGATAAGAAAGTAGAAGAGTGGGAATGTTTAAGAATATTGGTATTCACAATGTTGAAGAATATGTTTATTGCGGATGTTGAAGAACATGATGTTTATTGTCAATATTGAATGATTATGTTTATTGACAATGTCAATGAATATGTTTATTGACAATGTAAATGAATATGTTTTTTGCCAATGTCAATGAATATGTTTATTGCCAATGTTGAATAATACGTTTATTGTCAATGTTGAATACTATGTTTATTGATGTATTGACAATGTTGAATAATATGTTTATTGCAGATGGTGACTTCTTCTTTTCTTATGCCTTTTACCCCGTCTGGGGCATAGACAGTCCACAAGAATTTTCCATTCATCATGGTTTTGCGTATTTCTTTCCATTTGCTTCCAGTGATATCCCATACTTTGCGTGTCTGCCTCTTGCTAACGTCTCCATGTATTCTTAGGCCTTCCTCTCTTTCTTTTCCCCTGTTGATTTCATGTTAGGGATTGTCTGGTGATGCAATCTTGAGTCTTTTGATAAGTATGCCCTATCCACCTCCATATTTCTTTATGATGTCTTCATCAATGGGAACTTGAGAAGTCCTTTCTATTAGATCTTTGTTGGTGATGGTATTTGGCCATTTGATGTTCAGGATCTTTCTAAGGTATTTGTTTATGACGATATGTACTTTTTGAGTGATGCTCGCCATTGTTTTCAAAGTTTCTGCTCCATATATGTGTTTAAGATTCTGACTTTGGTTTACAGATTCAGCTCCTTCGTCTCCCATATTTTCTTTGGTGAAAGATGCTGATCTATAGCTTTTTCAATTCCAGTGTTGAAGAACATGTTTATTGCCAAATTTAACCATTAAAACTTTTGAACTATTTCATCGTCCTACGTTTTTCTCTCACCATAAAACTTGAGGTTACCTTTAAGGGTTTCCTTGTTCATAATTTCATTTTTTAGGCCAAATATGCACAACATACCATCTAACCCAGGGTGGGGGTGATGGTAGTGATGATGGTTTAAATCTCACAAGGCCAAAGAAAAAACTCCAAAGATATTACAGGCTTGAAAGATTGCCAAAAATACATAGAAGGGGAGAATAAATAAGTTTTACAAAACCTTGGTGGTATCGCAATGCGATATATTTGAATGGCTTCGTTCATCAGCTTATTTTTCCCGTTCGTGCTTAGCAATAACACTGAATTGAATACACGTCCTTTTCCATTATTAATGTAACTTTTTGCTGGCATCCGTCCGTCACAATGGGACGATGGAGTGGGCTTCGGAGTACGAAATCCACATGGACTGGGATTATTCTTCTAGGTTTATAAGCTGGTTCCCAACAGCAAATCGCCTCTCTCCACGCCGCTGGATAACCAAGGGAACATCAATGGATGCTACATCTTGGCACCAGTGACGTCGGAGGAGTTGTCGGAATGTTTCATTGTACCAATGTTATCCGCCTTTCGGGACTCCATCTCCGGGTTTTGATTTCAGAGTTTCCTTCTCTTAGATGAGTTGCCATCCAAGGTTGACGAGTCCCCTCCACCCGGGGTGCTGGTGGTGTTTTTGCTTGACTGGGCTCTGACTGGAATTGAACTCCACACCACCAACTTGAGATTTGCTCAGTCTAGACCCCTCAGCCACCCAGCACTTTAATCTATAAATATATCTAAGAGGCTGAACATTTAATCAAACACATGAATAAAGCAGCTGGCTATAAGCAAGAGAGAACAATCCACAACTATCCACTACAAGGTTCTTTCGACGACTGATCACGAATGAGCAAGTACGCCAAAGACAGTCTAGACCAGTGGGCGGCAGACGCAGGCATGCACAACTGAAAATGTAAGGCGGGTTGTAATCTTTATGAAAAACTTGTGCGGGCCGAAATATTTTACGAAAAGCTTGTGCGGGCCGAAAGATTATAGGACAGGGGGAAAGCTATTAGGAAAATAATAATAATAAACAATATTTAGTTACTACGAGGGCCGCCAAGTATGTGCTGGTGGGTCACATGCGGCCCACGGGTGCATGTTGTGCAGGCCTGGTTAAAAGAGACAAAACGTCAGCAGCAGGAAGATGGAAAAAAATGTTGTGAGCCAAATTTCTTTTCAAGAACCTGTCAAGTACCATGTTTTACGGAATCAAACACGATTTATGGCCGACGGGCCGAACAGCACTCAGGTCGCTAAAGAATCTCATGCGGCTCACGGGCCGCGATATGCCGACCACAGGCCTAGACAATACGTCATAATAACTATAAATATACGTCACCATCTAAAAGGTTGGGGGAGAGCGTTCATTAACTATCAACTCTCTAAAAACACACCACGCGCAATAAAACACAAAATTCGGTGCGCAAGCTGTTTGTGAATTCCCATGCCTAACAGGCTGGGTGGGGTCGGGGGGGGGGGGGGGGGGGGGGATACACATCATTAGCATAACCAAATACATTTACTCAAAGTTGTTGCGGACTTAAGAATTTTTATATCTTTAAAAAATAAATATATGTTTAGCCTTTAAAAAATAAGCAGGACAATTAAAAGAACGTTTCGGCTAAACGCCTACTTGAGCAGACAAGACAAAAGCAAGAAACAACAAATGATGGAAGTCATCTTCCGAAAATTCAGTTAAGAGGGCCTGGACTAAAGGTTCACACATTTTATCAGTTTAATAAAATCCCAGTAGATGATGATGCTGAGAAGCAGACCTATATGCCCCACGAGTCACTTTGGTTTTAGCATTTAAACTACCATCAAAATGGTATGTTATTATAAATCAATTGTTTAAATAAATCGAACGGACTAAGAAGCCAAAACAAAGATATGATTACATATAAACAAACCGCTGTTCCCCAGCCGCGCCCAGCGTGAATGATAACAATGTCAAGCAAAAATTAGCACAGTCAGTTCTACTGGAAGAAGAAAGACACCAGACATGTTCGGAATGTACTTGTCATTTAGATGCCACGACGGCAAACGCTCCCATTTAGATGCCACGACGACCAACTCTGATCATTGAAATCAGCAGGTGGGGTCTAATAATTAAAAAAAAAAATAATTGGGGGCTTGGCAATGTTCCCTCTAAGGTTTGTTGGTTCGTGTCCAAAATCATAAAGTTGTGAGCAAATTTTTACAGCATCAATTTTTTTGTGCGCAAAATTTTACAGCCTACAGACACAAACACACACTTAAGTGGAAATTAGCTGCGCGGTACTCAAAACTGCTGCGCGGCGTCTGTGAAATTACTGCTCGGCCGCGCAGCCGCGCAGCTTAAAGAGAACATTGGAGATGGGGTGGGGTGGAGGCACCCTGAATAGGTTTTAGTTCTTTTTAAAAAAGAAAAAAAAAAGAAACTTGTTTGCGTTAATGTCACTGGTCTCCTTTATTATGTTTGAATGTGACACTAAATGGAGTCTCAGATGATTTATATGAAAGACAAAGAAACAATCAGAGACAGCAAATACAGAAGGCAAAACTTGAGCGGACACAACTTCCAAGAAATACATTAAACACTCTCTTTAAATGCTCATTATTGGTATGTGAAATCGATCATTTTTTTCTTACAATCTTTTTATTGTATTTTTGTATTAATGTTTAAAAAAAAAAATTAAAAAAATTAAAAAAAAACAAAATGCCAATGTTTTGTATTGAGAGCATACCATTTAAATTTAAAGTTACAGCTAGGGATATCGTAAACGACGAGGGTTGCGTGTCAAAGCAAATATAAGGTGCATTTCAAATTACGCATTATGGAAGTTTGCATTAAACGGGATATTTATTGACTCTACGAACGGAGCCTGAGATTGCTTTCAGAAGCTGAATGGTGGACAATGGACAGGCATTGAATAACTCATAGCAGAGATGATAAAGTGTGATTTTAAGTTTGTTGATACAGCAGAGTCTCACACTGTACGATATTCACGGTCCACACTATATGATATTTAGAATCTACACTTTACGATAATTAGAATTCACACTATACGATATTTAGAGTCCATACTATACGATATTTATCATCCACACTATACGAAATTTAGAATCCATACTATATGATATTTAGAGTCCATACTATACGATATTTAGAATACACACTATACTATATTTAGAATCCAGACTATGCGATGTTTAGAATCCACACTATATGATATTTAGAATCTACACTTTACGATAGTTAGAATCCAACCTATACGATATTTATAATCCACACTATATATTTGGAATCCACACTACGATATAGGGGCCACTCTGTACGATATTTAAAATCCAAACTATGCTATATAAACTGATAAACAACGCTTGATGCTGCTGGATGCCTTCCAATGTCTAGACAAGGGTAAATAGTACTTGGGTGGGTGCTGTCCATGTCTACACAAGGGTAAATAGTACTTGGGTGGGTGCTGTCCATGGCTAAACAAGGGTAAATAGTACTTGGGTGGGTGCTGTCCATGTCTAGACAAGGGTAAATAGTACTTGGGTGGGTGCTGTCCATGGCTA